AGCCCCAAACCACCGGGCCCACCACAACCAAAACCCCCCCGCACAACCAGCCTAGGTTTCCCAGTATAACCGGGCAAACCTTTTTGGGGGGATTGGCAGCAAAATCCCAATTTTTTTCCCAAAACCCTCACCACTTTGATGACTCCCCAAAGGGGAAATTTACCTATTTGCCCCCTTGGAACACGGCCAATAAACTGGAATTTTTTGGGGAATTATTTTTTGCCCCGGGCCATTGATGGAAATTTTTGTCGGGAAAGAAATAATTTTTTTTGAGTACACCATTGACAAATATTTTTAAATCACCACGGGTCAAGACTACATAGGTGGAAAGAGACGACTTTTTGCAGAAATTGTATTTGCTTTTTGCAAAAAAATGCTTATGCCTCACGTCTCTAAGCAAATATAAAAGCTTTAACGGGGCTACGGGATGGGGCAATTTCTCCCCCCGGTTTCAGAGAAATCATACCTTTTGAAAAAGGTTTATCTTACTCTTCCCCGTATTTTGCATTCTCTGAAAAAAACGGGGCCCCTGACAGAATGACGGGGTTATACAAATTAGAAATTTTTTTAAAGTATCTCAAAAAAAATTTTTCAGCTTTATACTTTTATCCATTAAAGAATTTGTAATTGACGAGCCCTTTTGTTTTTTTGTTAAAAGGGTTTAGACTGTCATTAAGCAGTATTTACCAAGAAAAGTGGAAATGTTTTGGGTTTATAAAACTGTTTGTACTCTGTGTTTTGTAAACAGGGGGCCCTGGTTTTGGATATTTTTTGTATACAGGGAAATAAAACATTGAAAAAATCCCAAAGATGTTTTTGGGTATCCCCGGTGACTATGAGAAACATGATGGAAACCTTATTTGGAAAAGGGGCATACATTATATCCCGAAAAAACCTGGAAACCCCAAGGCCCTTTACTCAGTATTTCTTTTGTGAACAAGACAGATGTGTGTGGGCACAGTGGTTCAAAACGTAAACATATGCCCAGGCCAACGCAGGTCTCTTTGGTGTTGACGTGCAGGTGTTTATTTCCAAAGGGCCTCATGGCAAATTTCGGGGGCATGACAAAGGAATGTCACTTTTTTGACAACCATTCAAACCCTAATAAATGCAAGACAGTGGCAAAGTTGATCGAGGACTAATGAACGTATTCGAAAACCCGTGACAGTGAATTTATTTTTTAAAAAAAATGGGGCCCCCTTTGGTTTTTTAAATGTGCATGCAATTGGTTTTGTTTACTGTGTTCATAAGAGTTACAAGTGGTTCATGAAACTTTTCTTCCATCTCATGGCATTTCAATGCTCAAAGCATATAATAAAGTACCAAATAAAAAATGGCAACAAAACCACCGTTTTGGTGAATTTTGTTTGTCTTTTTTGCAGGGCCCAAATCATAATTTTTAGTAACCCGGTAAAAAAACACCTTCTATACAACACGGGCCCGAATTTTCCCCAGGAATACCCCAAGCGTTTTAGGGGGGGAAAGGGGATCATTTTATAATCAACTTTCCTTTAACTCAGAAAAATTTGTCAGAAGGATGCATCGTCTGTGCACAAACAAAACGCGGCAACAAAGACCGGGAAAGACATCGGTTTATGTGTGAGGAAAGTAAGGTTTCCTCTGTGCATGGTGCCCTTTTTTCCCGGGGGTTCCACCCGCTCCCGCAGTTCTAAAACCAGTCCCCTGATTTTAAATATGTAAAAATGATAAAAATTAGTTTTATACAAAAATTGGGGCTGTTTTTTGTAATAAAAAAACAGTGGTAAAACAATAATTTTGAAATAAATTTTGTGCTTATTGGGGTTCAATACGGAGTTTATATATATTTCATTATAAAACAGTATTGGTTTTCTCAGGCCCCAAATGTTAGTTGAATAGAAAAAATTGGAAAAAGAAAAAAAAAAAAAAACAAAAACCGCAAAATAATGTAATGCGCGTATGTGGAATTCGTCGATGTTGCCGCCACCACATCATTTTTGACAAACTTCTTGGCACTGTATCTCGGTAAGTACTGATCAGAATTTTTTTTTTTTGTCTTATTACCTTCACAAAAATATGCTCTTTAATTCTGTAAGAAAAAATAATTTTTTTTTTTTTTCAAAATTTCTTGGACACTGGAGCACCACTTCAGATTTTGGCCTTGGACCCTGAAGGGGTTAAGGTGCATTATGTTGTGGTCTACTGTACTGAATGCTTTCCTAAAGTCTGTAAACAGACCTATTTGATATTCACTGTTCTCAAGAGCTGCATAAATAAAATTTAGCATTTTTATAATTGCATCATTTGTGCTTTTATTTGGTTTGAAACTAAACTGGCAGTGGCTGAGTAGGTTGAGTAATAATACTAGAAAAGAGTACATATAATCTCTCTGATTAATGTTTCAAAAATTTTGGATAACAGTGGTAAGTTAGATATAGGCTGTAGTTATTTATGTTGGTTGGGTTTCTTCCTTTGTGTATTGAGGTAACCCTTCCTATCTTAAGCCTTTTTTTTTTTTTAAACACTGGCTGTCTCCCAACGAGGTAGGGTGACCCAGAAAAAGGAGAAACACTTTTACAGTCACTCACTCCACCACTGTCTTGCCAGAGGGGTACTGATACTACTGTTCAATACTACAAATTTCCCCGCCCTTCCTTCAGGCACTGTACTTCCCACCTCCAGGACTCAGGTCTGGCTGACCAGTTTCCCTGAATCCCTTCATACTTAGAGTTTACCTGGAGAGAGTTCCGGGGGTCAATGCCCCTGTGGCCCGGTCTGTGACCAGGCCGCATGGTGGCTCAAGGCCTGATCAACCAGGCTGTTACTGCTGGCTGCACACAATCCAACATACGAACCACAGTCCAGCTGGTCAGGTACCGACTTTAGGTGCCTGTCCAGTGCCTGCTTGAAGACAGCCAGGGGTCTATCGGTAATCCCCCTTATGTATGCTGGGAGGTAGTTGAATAGTCTTGGGCCCCTAACACTTATTGTGTTGTCTCTTAACGTGCTAGTGGCACCCCTGCTTTTCATTGGGGGGATGTTGCATCGCCTGCCAGGTCTTTTGCTTTTGTAGGGAGCAATTTTCATGTGCAAGTTCGGTACTAATCCCTCTAGGATTTTCCAGGTGTACATAATCATGTATCTCTCCTGCCTGCATTCCAGGGAGTACAGGTTCAGGAACATCAATTGTTCCCAGTAATTGAGGTGTTTTATCTCAGTTATGTGTGCCGTGAAGGTTCTCTGTACATTTTCATAAATGTTACTTTGCTCACACTCCAACAGCATGTCAAGTCATAAAAACCACTTGTCTCCACTTAGTATTGCAATAATGAGTGACAGCATCGAAGCTACTCTTTTGAACAACAGTGGTGGTGCTGTACTTGTTAAGTTTTCTGACTTAATTTTTAGTGAGTTTATTATCAAAGACCTCTGCAAAATTAGTAGGAGCCAGATGAGAGCATTTGGAAGACTTCCAAAAAGGTAGTCACTTGCTTGAGCATTGGTATTTGGTATTTTGCTAGTTAGACTTGATCCTATGGTAGAGAAAAAATAATTTAATGTATTGGCTGTTTCAGTGGGCTAGATAGTGGCTTATTGGATTTGAGTAGAACAATGTCTCTGGTTTTGGTCGATTTCTGAGAACCGAGATTTGAGTGTGTGTTTTGTGTTTTCGTATTATCTTTTTATTTTTTTTTTCACTATTCATGATAGCATAATACAGTTGTTTAGACTTCCTTATTATTTGGAAAGTATTGATGTATAGCTTTTGGTTTGTTCTTTATTAATTATGCCTAGTCTGTATTTTTTTCATAGTTATGTTTTTATCAATGGACCTGAGGATGTTATTTGTTAGCCAAGGGTTACTTAGTCTTTTTGCCGTGATCTGCTTAGTTTTAATAGGACAATGTCTGTTGTAAAGGCTTGGTGTTTTTTGAAGAGAAATATTTACCTATTTGTTGATACCCCTTGTTGCCAGTAAACTATGTGTACCAATCAGTCTACCTTACTGCTCTAGTGAAGTTATTTAATGATGTCTCATCATGTTAGATAAAAGGACACAAGTGCAGCTAATGTGACATTTTGTTTTTATTGTGCCACAAAAAAATGTTGCGCAAGTTGCACTTGTGTCCTTTTACTTAACATACTGTTGGTAATTCTACCAACATTAATAGTGTATGTCTCGTGGAAACAAAACAAGATCATACTAGGCTTGAGTGGTAGCTTACATATATTGGTTATGAGGATGGTGGAGTAGTGATCAGTACTATTGTCTATGATTATCCCTGCTCTGAGAGGAGCTGTTATATTAGTCCACTTATTGTCAGTTGAAGCTGCACTCATCTCGGTATTCTTGTTCATTTAGTTATAGCTGGTATGAGCAAGGAATTATACGTGCTTTTAATAAAACCAGTTACTTGAGGGTCCTCGGCTTGAACAAGGTTAATGTTGAAGTCACAGAAAGTATTAGATAATGTTTGTTTAAGTGCTTATTAGTTTTCTGACATTACCTTCTACCATTTCAGAAGATAATTTATTTTTTAAATCATGACACTGTCAACACTCTTAATTTCAGGAGTCTCAACAGTGAAAGTGTTAATTCATAACCTATTACTTGTTGTATACATGTTGCATGGCCACTCACATTGTTTCCCTCTCCTCCCTATCAAATGTTGTTTGACTATTTTTGAGAAAAAAATAAATTATGAACTCCAAAAGTAATGCAAGGTCACCCTCGAACAAAATAAAATGTATTTTTACTTTTTTTCTAATATTAGCAGTGATTTTGTTAGATATATTTCCAGAAAGTGATGACGGAAGTGTTTCTCCATTTATGGGTCACTGCTTTGGTGGGAAAAGACTGATGTATTAATAAAAACAAGAAAATATATTCTTTAAGTTTCATGTAACCCAATTAACTTTTTATGGTAAAATGATAGTAACATATTTGTAATTCACTGTTTTACAAAATTTGATATTATTTAATTAGTGCCTTTAAATAGTGTTAATATTTTCATATTAAGCTGGTATTGGAGATGCTCAACCGGGTTGAAATTAGTTGTCAATTGGTACCTGGCTTTATTAGTTAAGAGATGCACGTGCTATCAGGACCGTAAGAAGATGTAACATCCACACCTTTATCTATTTGGGTTGTTTACCTCGGTATGTAATGTATTAGTTGTGTTTATACATCAGTAGTAATGTGTTGTTGGTGTTATACATCAGGAAAGTTGTGTGTGTTATACATAGGTATGTAAGTGTTGTGTTGTTTATACATAGTAGTATGTATTGTTTGTGTTTAACATCGGTATGTATGTATTGTTGTGTGTTAACATCATTTAATGAAGTTTGTGGTGTTTTATAATCAGGATGTAATGTTTTTTGTGTTTATACATCATGTTGTAATGTATTAGTAGAAACTTTAGTAATACTTCACATAGAAGTAATGGTATTTTCTAAAAGGATTTTTTTTTGTTCTGTCTAAGTAATAGGAATTGTTAACCTAGTCCATATAACAGACACAAATATTATTTGCATAGTATACACTGTGAGATTTACATGTTATAAGATATTATTAAGCACAAGCCACTAGCATGCCTGTGCATTTCAGGGAGACAAATCCTAAGGGACTAACCCTTAAATTGTCCAGATGTAGATCTACGTTTTCACTGCAAGTACTTGAATATTTTGAAAAAATCCTTTTTTTTAATTTAAAACCCCTTTGACTGTTTTGACGTATAAATCTCTTACAAAGAGGGCCGACTTGTTGAAAAAAAAAAAAAAATAATAATTCTAGCGGCTTCAAATCAAGCGGGAGAAAGCTGGTAGGCCCACAGTGAGGAATGGGTCTGTGTGGTCAGTGTGCACCACAAAAAAAAATCCTGCAGCACACATTGCGTAATGAGAAAAAAAAACTCTGAATCGTTTTTTTGGAATAAAAGCGCCGACTTTGAGGTGTATTTTCGTATAGTTATTTTATCGTTGATATTTCACGTTTTCCATGGTCTTAGGTGAATAAAATGGACAACATATTACGAAAATAGGAGATGATTTTTTCAATTTTTACTTTGACAACGAAAAAACGACCTGAAACTGAGCTCAAAGTAGCGGGAAATGTTCGATTTTTACAATGTTCAGGGAAGTTAAATAAATTCCACAACCACAAGTTCAATACACGTCAAAATGGGGAGTCTAATTTAATTCTGTCAGTTAGTGCACTGATTATTATTTATACCATTTTTACAATAATTGCAGTAGTCTGCATAAAGTAACTTTTGTATTTTTTTTTATGAATAAAAAAATCAAAATAGTAATGCATAATAATATTAACAGGGGCCTAGAGATGGTGGACTAAATGAACAGAGCTAGAATGGGTTATTTTAGGTGCCTACGGAATGGTCTACCTTGTTTATTCTGGACCCTATTTTGGGAAAATTGGATCTTTTTTAGTTGTGTGAAATTGGCCAAATTGCCAATTTCTGGACCACACATATTGGGTAGTCCAAATTAGTTATGGGAGGTTTCTTTGTTACTCAAGTGATAGATAACAATGGAGGTTCTAAAGGAAAAATAAGCTATGAGTTTTGGTCAAATGGAGAATGGAATTGCTGAAAAAAATAGGGCCTCAAAAGTCGGGGAAAATCGCCGAAATAACGCATTATGGCTCCCCACGTTACCGCTAAACTTCGCGGGAGGCATAAATTCCATGGAGTTTGTGGGGGGTCAAATTTTCGAAACTTTTTGGTGGTCAATTTACTCATCGGGAAAAAATTCTCTATTCATTTATTAAGGAAAAAATTTTTTTTTTTTTTTTCAAAAATTTGAGCGACATAGATGACAAGTTGTTCGGGGATACGGGGCCTGAAAACCCAGCCTAAGGGTTTAAAAAGAGCCACTGTTTTCTGTTGGTAAGTGGGTCCAAATTAGGTTCCCAGGTCTCTTTTCATATTCTTCTTTTATTTTGTTATCCCTTTCATGTCAAGTCTGTCCAGGAATTTTTTCAAATTTTTTGTCTTTTTTCTTATGAAATGGTAAGAAAAATCTTTTTTTTTTTTTTTTCAGTTAAAACAAAAAAAGTAGAAGTTTGATGGAAAATTGACAAAATTATGCTTTGCGAATTTTGCTGTATCCATGATAAATTATGCATGGTGATTTTTTGGCCACTTTAAATACTTTTTTAGCCACATTTATATTGTTCCAGTCAATTTAAGTATTAGCTATTTGTTAGTAAATTTTAACATTTATCGGGGGTACTGAGCCACATGACAAAATGTGCCCAATTAACTGTTTCAAACTATCCAATTAAAGTGATCCAGAAATTTGTAATTTGGCAAATTTTCCCACCAATTTCCAAAATAATTCAATTTCAAAATAGGTTCCTGAAAACAGTGCAGGATTCCTGGCATTAAAAAAAATTCTCTTTCTTAGTTTTGTTTCCAGGGTTTTACAACATTGAATTTTCATTTTGTTTTTTTATTTAGAAAAAAAGTTAGAAGATTGCTGTTATTGCAATATTGGTATATATATTGCATTATTATTCGGGTGCATTCGTGAATGCATATTAGACCCACCAGTGAGATGTGTATTGACAATTGATGTGATTTGTTTACTCTTGAATATCGGCAAAAATCGAGCATTTACGCTATTTTGAGCTCAATTTCAAGCTATTTTCATTCCTCAAACCAATCAAAATTATCTTTATTTCTGTCATATATCTTAAATTATATTAAATGAGATCAAGAAATGAGAATACAACAATAAAAACCATATGAAAATACACTGCAAAGTTGCTGTTTTAAAGCAAAAACACGAGTGAAGTTTTTTTTCCTCATTGTGCACTGCGTCCTGCAGGATTTTTTTTTACATGATGCGCACTCGTCACATCGACCTATTCTCTCATATCTAGGCCCAAATTTACCACTCACAGTTTATCTGAGTGAGCTAAGCTCATGGTGTAGTAGTAATTTTAGATCTTGTTACTGAATTAAAAAAGTTATGATTGATATCAGCTCAAAAAAAAGATAAGGTTAGGTGTAAGTAATATATTCTTTTTTCTTTCAAACACACCGGCTGTATTCCCACCGAGCAGAAGTGCCCAAAAAGGAAAAAACGGAATAGTTTTCTCCTTTTACATTAGTAATATATACAGGGAGAAAGGGGTTACTAGCCCCTTGCCCCCGGCATTTTTAGTTTGCCTCTCCACAAAAACCCGGCATGGCTTACGGGAGGAAGGAATGGCTGTTTTCCACTTCCCCATGGGATATGAGGAACTACTAACAATGAAACAGCTAGAAAGAAAAAATAGCAGAAATACCCAAGAAGGGGGTGTTGTTTATTATGCTTGTTCATGTGTGTGTGTAGTGTGACCTGGAGTGTATAGTAGAAGTTGCAAGATTTGTACCTGAAAAATTCTTGGCATGTTTATGAAGACAGGACAAAAAAGGGGGGACTCAGGGTCAATCCTACCATCATGTAAAAACAAAGTAACTTTTGTTAATCCAAATTAAATACCAGATTTTTAAAGTTTGATGTTTTATTTTTGATTGACTCTGATCGCTCTGTACAAATGACAATCAAACAAAATAGAACATTGTAGTATAGCTGTTAATGAAAAAGATTTCTTGCAGCATCCAATCTTATATTGAAATTGGATTGAAAATGCTTCATAAATGTTTTGAAAAAAGAATAAAAACATGTTTAATTATCAAATAAAAAACACTCTCCCAAAAAGCACCGTTAATCATCAGGTAAAAAGTTAAACTGTGTTCAAAACTTTACCATTTTGTATTTGATTCCTCAACCACCCCTAGGGGCATTTACTTCTTTTACAACCCCATCTATAAATATGCTATAACAACCATGGTTGTCATTAAAACATTTCTGTCTATGGGACCTAGTTCTACTGGGAAGTTATTCATTCTCCTACACTTTGATATACCCCTTGGTGAGTTTCGAGAGTTAATGAAGGCTCATCTGGTTACTGGCCTGGTCAACCAGGCTGTGTGCTGGAAAGCCCACTTGCCCATATCCATCACAGCTTGGGACCCTGGTGAAGCTACTGTTCCAGTTTTACCTGTGAAGGGGCTTTACACTTGTTCCAGCTCGTGTTTCTGAATTATCTTCTGGTAAGATTGTTGAATAGTTGGGAACCTGGATGTTGGATACCAGTGTTCCCTTATGTCCCCACGCACCCCTGCTCCGCTGGGTTGATTTTACACTGCCTTTCCATATCTCGTCAACTCCAGTATGTTATTGCCAGTGTGCCGATTTGGGATCCAGGCCCACGAGTTATTTTCCTGGGTATATATTATACGTATTCTCTCTTTCCCCGCTCACATGGGAATACAGTTTTTCAAGGCTTGCAAGGGCATTACCAGTAGTTTAAGTGCTTTACAGGCTCAAGTGTGAGCCCACAAACGATCCTCTGTATTTTGTTTCAGCCTCCGATATTTCTCCTGCTTTGAATGGGGACCAATCAGGCACTGGGAGCAGTTTCTAAGTGAGGGAGCACTAGTGATTTGAAGTAATCGTCACATCGGAATTAATTTCCCTTGTTTGAAAGTTCTCAATACCACCCGGTCATCTTCCTGGCGGGGCTCCTGTTCTTGATCTTTGTCTTGTTTGGTCTTTAAAGAAGGTCCGCTGACATAATTATTCCTAGGTCCTTTTACGTGTTCCTTTGTTTCTATTTGGTTGGGGACCCTCTTGAGTTTTGTATATAAGTATTCCCTTTTGAGTTCTTATTCTTGCCATACTAAGCAGCGGAACTTATAACCATGGGATTGTCAATGTTGTTCTCCAATGCCACTGGAAAAACCCTGTTTATGTCTTCTGTTACTTTTCAGCAGCCCTCTCCAGTGTGACATTTATGCTTATTTTGTGTTCCTTCTTGCAAATGAATGATAACAAAAGTGTGCCGGGTGTTTTTGGTCTATGTTCTGCTATGTGGTTGGAGAAAAAAAAACAGGCAGAGGGTGACCAGGGGGACAGATACCTTGGGGCACTGAGGATTTTGGAACCTCGCTGATGCTGGGATTTGCCCTGTTCACTTACTACTTTTTGTGTTATG